CCCCGGGGGACGGGTCCCGGCTATAGACGGATCGGATGTCAGGAGCGTAACAAAGAGAAAAGTCTCCCTTCCCCAGGTCCTCCGCGATCGACTTGAGTCGTTTCTAAAGGGGCTGGAAGGTCTGTTCTGAGCTCCTCCTCTGATTGCGGCGGCTCCATTCTGGAGCAGGGTTTTCAGTCTGAGGCATATCGGTGCCTCCCGGAGTCTGAAGTGCGAAGAAATTTGCCCGATAGCTTGGCGGAGAAGGGGAGCAGGGAAGGACTGTTTGGCGATGGCTGGTTTTGTTTTTGGAGTCAGGAGTGTTTACTCTGGAAAAGAGAATTCTTGGGTCTGCAAATTCCGACTTGTGATTTCTGCAAATGCTGATTAGAAGTTCTTGGCATGCTCGTCTTATTTTCTTTTTTTGCTGAGAAAGCCTTATAATAATAGCGTGTGCTCTCAAACATTCAAAACACTCCGTGGGCTCCAAGTGACAACCGCTGTATGCCTGATAGTTGCTGACAGTTTTTTTTTTTTTTTTAGTGTCGGATATGACAGCAATTTTACTCTGAAAATAGTTGTTTGTTTTGTTTCTAGGGGTCTCGTGTATCTACGTGTAAATATTTGGTCCATGAGAAACATAGGTTAGACTGCTATAGATCTATATATTACTCTAAAAATATCTCTTTGAGTGATTATTTTATTTTAAAGCCTCATTGGCAAAATATATATGGTGGGGACCTTATCAGCAAGGGGGGAAACTACAGGATTCAGTTAAAGTGCAGTTGAGAAAGTTTGAGAGGGGATGTGAAGAGAAAACATTAAAATGAATTTACAAATATCTGTCTTTTGAAAACTTGAACAGAATATAGTATTTGCTTTCTTGTTATATAACAGAATGGTTTTGTAGTTTTTTCCTTCCGAAGCTAATTATGAATTGTTTACTTTAGTAGTTAGGTCATTTATAACTCCAGACCCAACTACCTTTCAAATTATTACATATTATTTTACACCTGAGACTCTCCCAAAAGCATTCTAAATTTCTCCTCCTCTACTCAAACATTTATAACTCTGTGACATCATTTGGTAGCAAATATTGTACATAAATGAAAGTTAAAATGTGTAAGTCATTGATAAATTTGTGGTTAAGCAAAACATTTTAACAGCAAAACATTATTTTAACATAGGATATCCTACTGTTAAAATAATATATATATGCAAAAAGCAAGCTATTCTTTTGGTTAGATCTTGGGGTGGGGGAGAGATGGGAAATGCACCTGATACACACACCCTCAACTTTTAAGATTACATTAACATCTACCAAAATAAAGAGAACACATTGGCTTTTCTTTATCCCTGATGTAAAATTTTTCAAATCTCAGGGATAAAGGAAAAGTTTCACTCTGCATTTGCTTAATCAGAGCATAAGTTAATAATTACATTGTGTCCTATCTATTGCCTTCAATGTATAGCTCTACTATGTAGTGAAGAGACTACCATATTTGAACACCCTTAATACAAATATTCATCTTTACTGTGCATATATGCAATATCTTGTCCTTCATGTCCACTACTTAATCCTTCTTCAGTTACCATCATTTGTGTATTAAGCTGAAATGCATTACCTCATCTCATGAAAGGGTATTTAGTATATATATGTTAATGTATATGCAATCTTTTAAAACTTACACAAACGCTACTGGCTCACCAGGAAATTTTCTAGTTTAAAAGTATTAAGGTTCTCATGTCTTTTTATTTTTTTTAAGTAATTTTATTTATTTGAGAGAGGAAGGGAGAGAGAGACAAACATTGATGAGAGAGAATCATTGGTCATCTGCCTCCTGCACACCCTCTCCTGGGGATCAAGCCAGTAACCCCTGCATGTGCCCTTGACCAGAATCAAACCTGGGACCCTTCAGTCCGCAGGTGGATGCTCTATCCACTGAGCCAAACCGGGTAGGGCAAGGTTCTCATTCTTTCTTTTATTTAAATATATTTTATTGATTTTTTACAGAGAGGAAGGGAGAGGGATAGAGAGTTAGAAACATCGATGAGCGAGAAACATCGATCAGCTGCCTCCTGCACACCCCCTACTGGGGGTGTGCCTGCAACCAAGGTACATGCCCTTGACCGGAATCGAACCAGGGACCCTTTGGTCCTCAGGCTGACGCTCTATCCACTGAGCAAAACCAGTCAGGGCTCATTCTTGATTTTTATCCATTTTCCCTGAACTATCTATTAGGTTAATACCTTGATATAACAAAGAGCATTACAAACTGCAGGTGGAGAAGCATATCTTTTTATTTTTAAAATTTTATTTATTGATTTTAGAGAGAGAGGAAAGAGAGAGAAACATCAGTGTTGTTCCTCTTATTCATTGATTGCTTCTTGTATGTGCCCTGATGGAGGATGAAACTGGCAAGCTTGGTGTATCAGGACGCCACTCTAACTGAGCTGGGTCCTTTAAAAGTTCTCGCCCAGGGCGAGATCATATATTTTTATAATATTTATTTTCTACTTCCCTCCTTACCTATAGAAGTATGATGCTTTTACTTGCAAAAGTCACTCAGGAAAGGCTGTTAATACAGTGCTGTAGGTAGTTCCTGTTTTCTTTTTTTTCCCTCTGGCCTTCCTCCTCTATTCCTTGTTTTAAACTTTTCTTTTTATTTATTTATTTATTTATCTTGGCTTTCTGAAAATAACCAGAATTCAAAAACCAAAACACAAGCAACACAATCAAAAAGCCAGACAGACCGGGTCCTTCTTAGAGGTACATCCCTGTATGTAAATACAGATGCTTTTCATCTCAAGGGCAGCGATGGCTTAGGATTCGCCTTGGATTCCTCACGATGCCCACGGCACTGCCTGGTGCCCAGAGACGCAACGCGCTTTTGCGGAATGGAATTACCAAACGTTGGCTGGCAGAGCTGGGTGCCATCCCCGTGCCGAGTGCCCATCACTCTGGGGCTGGGACGCAGTCAGGAGAGCGGAAAAGGGCTGGGGATAAGGCGTCTGGGCTGGACCCCAGCTCCTTCCATCCTGGGATGAAGCTGCGAGGCCCGTGTCTGCCTGCTGAGCGGGTGGGGGCGCACCCCGCCCCTCCGCGCGGTTCCGGGCCCAAGTTCAGGGCCACCCGCCACCCCGAGCCTTGAGGAACGATTCATCCTCCTCCGCTCCCACGAAAGCGGAGGGTGGGGACTATCCCGGGGTTCTGTCCGCTCCTCCAGGGGGAAGGACAGCCAGCTGATGTAAGAATCCGCGCTGGCCGCGCACGCCGTTTGCTTCAGCCCTTGAGTTGCCATCAACAGGTGTGACTCAAAACGTTGTTGAAGTCGCGTATTTTGGAGTCTTGAGGCTCCAAACCGGAATCAAACGGCCCGCGCCCAAACCTCAGCACTTGTAGGGGCTCGAGCCGGGTCCTTTAAAAGTTCCCTCGGGGAGCAGCCGGCCCGGCCCTGCTCTAGCGCGTCCGTCCGGAAAACGCTGCCCGGGGCGGAGGGTTCCGGGGCTGCCGAGGCTGCGCGTTGGCATGGCAACGCCGCCCGCTTTCCCGGGAGGAGTCGGAGCCCGTGCACTCCGGGGTGTTCTTAGCCACGTGGGCTGGCCGGACCCGTCCGCCCCTCGTGAAGCCAGTTGGCGTTTAAGTCCTCGCCGCCTCTTCTGGGCTGGGCTCCGCTTAGGAGAAGGCCCACCGCCTCCCTAGGCGTCCCCACCCGCGGAGCAGCCCGGGCCACGCTTTTCAGCACTTGTTCCACGTGGTGATCTGATGACAAGCGTGTGTGGGGTCTTTCATGATTTGTTTACCAATCAACCAACTTGGTGACGTCACTATTTAGCAACCAGAAGGGCTTCTCCAAATGCTTGTTAAGCGCTTCACCTCCTTTGAACTAACAGCTGCCATATGTTCAAGGGGATTATTCCTCTCATTTGGGTTCAGGGTTAATTTGCCTTTGGCGACTGAGGCTTGGACGCAGCTCTTTTGGAGGTGTTTTGTAGTTAACCCACCTAAAGACTAAAGGCCCTCAGGTGTGGAGTATTGGGGAGCCAAAAAGAGTTAACTGTGAAAAAAACAACAACCCCCAACCCCCCCCCCCCCCCCCCCACCTTATCCAAAACAGAAACGGAACCACTAATGCTAGCTACTCTATTTGGGTTTACAGTAGTGCCAGCCAGCTATCGCATTTAATCCTGAAACAGCCGCAGGCGGTTGTCACTCTTTGTAGGAGTGAGTGAGGCATGGAGGTTGACCCCGGTGCTAACGCAGCTCTGATGCCAACTCCCCACCGCCTTCCCAGCCCTGCTAATGCCTTCCTTTTCCAAAGGAGAGGGGAAGCTTATTCTTTGGATATAGCTTTATGGATGTTGATTTTAAAAAGCAAAGTCTAGAGTTGCCATTGCCCGTGTAACCAATGTGTTCCTTTCCTCAGCCCTGGTGTGGATGCCCCCGTCGCCTGGCCTGTGGAGACTCAGTTGCGTTTTAATGGCGGCAGCAGCTGCTGGGTGAGCAGCCGGAGACTGTGCTACCCTCCCGGCAGGAGGGCAGGAGAGGAGAGGAGAGAGCACACTCCTCCTCGGGCACCGCCGCTGCATTGGTGGCCGTGCTTTTCCCTCTTAACTCCTCCACTCTTGAAGAGAGAAGAAGATGCCACTGCCATTCGGGTTGAAACTCAAACGCACCCGGCGCTACACGGTGTCCAGCAAGAGCTGCCTGGTTGCCCGGATCCAGCTACTCAATAATGAGTTTGTGGAGTTCACGCTGTCTGTGGAGAGCACAGGTCAGGAGAGCCTGGAGGCTGTGGCCCAAAGGCTGGAGCTGCGGGAGGTAAGCCACAAACAAGCCTGCTGGCTTCTCTCCTTACTTCCCAGCCACTTGAATGGATGCTGGCTGCGCGTTCTCAAACACATGCCCCTGGCCTTGATACCTGAATTAGTCTGCAAGCCCACAGTCCCAGGAGGACGGAATAGATACAGAACAAGAGGTCTTTCCTTGGGGGTAAGAAAGAAAAGAGAATGGATAGTGCCTGAGGTTTTTTTTTTTTAATTTTAATATTTTTATTGATTTCAAAGAGGAAAGGAGAGGAAGAGAGAGATAGAAAAATCAG